CCCAAACATTGGGATGGCTTTCAAAATGCACCTCTGCAACTGCCAAGCGATGGCCAGCTCCTGCTGTGCTCTAAATGCCGGGGGATTCCAGGAGTTATCCTTATTTTAAAGCCCTGAACATGTGATGTAACACACAGTTGGGTGACACTGTGGAATCCACGCACACACCTCTCTCAGGGGATGCAGTGTGGCCATGTCCTCCACATGACCCGGCCGACAAGCCCTTTGCCCCACGGGAACAAAAACAGGGCAGAGGTTGGCGCTTCAAGCTCCCACCCCTGTTGGGTTTTTTTGTTTGTTTGTTTGTTGGGTTTTTTTTTTTGTTTGTTTGTTTGTTGGGTTTTTTTTTTTGTTTGTTTGTTTGTTGGGTTTTTTTTTTTGTTTGTTTGTTTGTTGGGTTTTTTTTTTTGTTTGTTTGTTTGTTGGGTTTTTTTTTTCTGGGAATAGTTGTCAGTGGTGAAAAAAACCTCTGGCTTTCCAGAATGATGGGGGATAAAAGGTACTTAATTTCTCCTCCCTTTGCAGGATGAGGTGGCGCACACTGTGACAGAAAGCCGGGTGCTGCAGAATACCAGGCACCCCTTCCTCACCGTAAGTATGGCTGGTGGCAGCAGGGGAGCAAAGGGGCAGTGCAGTGGGATGCCCAGCACATCCCAAAACTTTCCTTCCCATCCCTCACTGCCGCCTCTGGAAACACAGAGCCCCGCAGCTTCTCCAAGACCTTTTTCTCCCCCCATCTCTTACAGGCACTGAAATACGCCTTCCAGACAAACGACCGCCTGTGCTTCGTCATGGAGTACGCCAACGGCGGAGAGGTGGGAGTTTAAGACCTGGACAATTTATTCCACAATCTCCCCTCAGCACGTGTTTAGGGAGGTAGAGCACGTGGCTCTCCTCTTGCCCAAGCTTTCCTGGCTCTTTGCTCACCTTCCTTGCACTCAATATCGCAGCGAGGCCATTGCACGCATGAAGCGACCATCCAGGGGAGGAAGCAGGACCCTCGGAGTCCTCCTCCTCACCACCTGAGGAGCTGCGGACACTGCAGCACCTCCAGCCATCGCTGCCTCCGTTACCTTCCACCCTGCACTCGTGCCTGGCTTTGTTTCTTTGCTTTCCTTGTGAGGGGGAACACAGCCGATGGCGCAGCCCCTCTCATAGATAATGCACGGCAGCTTTTTCCCCCCGGCCAAGTGGAGGGGGGTTCTCAATATTTTGACCGCTCAAGGCGAGGAGCTTAGGACACATATGACTGCATTAGCTGCGTGCTGAGAGCGATTAACCCGGGTTTCACTGGGGTGTTTTTTAAGCGCTTGTTGATCAGCTGGGTTTTTTTGTTTTGGTTTTTTGTTTTTTTTTCTTTCCCTCAAGCTATTTTTCCACCTCTCAAGAGAACGCGTCTTCACAGAGGATCGAGCCCGTTTCTATGGTGCAGAAATAGTCTCTGCGCTGGAGTACCTGCACTCCCGGGATGTGGTGTACAGGGACATTAAGGTACCAGCCTGGTGGCAACGATGTCCGCGAGTGGTGCCTTCGCCCTGTCTTGGTGCCAGCACAATTTTAATCTTCCTGGATTGGTGTTTTGGGGTGTGGAGTCACTGCCAACTCCCCTAAAAATCACCAAGGGGCCTCAAAGGGTTTCAGCCAGTGGAGCATCACACTTGGTTGACGCAAGAGCTGTGTTTCTCCGCTCCTGCTCGCTGTGGGTGGCACAGAGCCACTCTCCGCCTGGGGCTGGGGATGTTTTTCGCACACGTTGGTGCAGGAGGGAGGGCGGGAGCTCGGCTTCGGCAGAGAGAGCTTGAACCTGCCCTGCAGGGAGGTGTCACCCTCATCCCCATCACACGGCGATAGATCGAGACCCCAACCATCCGATAGAACCTTCTGGGAAGCAGCATTCTGCTCTTGTGCTCCCAACTTTGCTCAGCCACAAACCTTTTCTCCCACCTGTCAACTTTTGGTTGGTTTTTTTTTGTTTGTTTGTTTGTTTTCCCAGCTGGAAAACCTCATGCTGGACAAAGACGGCCACATCAAAATCACTGACTTTGGGCTCTGCAAGGAAGGCATCACAGATGGAGCCACCATGAAGACCTTCTGCGGCACTCCTGAGTACCTGGCTCCAGAGGTACTTCAAGCATTCCCGCAGCCAGGCTCTCCTCAAAACTCTTGTACCAAAGAGGTTTTTCTGTGGGGTTTATTCCCAAAGTCCAAAGTGGCAGCATGTCAGCAGGTGCTTTTCCAAACGCATGGGTTGCGGGAGTGGTTGTATCTAGAACGGGTTTCCCTTCTCCCTTCTTTGTGTTGACGCCTGGTTCTTCAGCCTCATTGGCACCATCCTTTTCATCTTGCCCTGCGCAGGTCCTGGAGGACAATGACTATGGCCGTGCCGTGGACTGGTGGGGCTTGGGGGTCGTCATGTACGAGATGATGTGTGGCCGCCTCCCCTTCTACAACCAGGACCACGAACGCCTCTTCGAGCTGATCCTCATGGAGGAGATACGCTTCCCTCGTACCCTCAGCCCCGAGGCCAAATCCTTGCTGGCCGGGTTGCTCAAGAAGGATCCCAAACAGAGGTGAGGGTCTGCCAGGGACAGATGGGGGGACCGCAGTGCTGCTGGCAGTTCTGCATGTGCCTCTCTGTGCCCGCAGGCTCGGCGGAGGTCCCAACGATGCCAAGGAGGTGATGGAGCATCGTTTCTTTGCCCCCATCAACTGGCAGGACGTGGTCCAGAAGAAGGTAGGAAGGGAAGGGAGTGCTTTGAGGGGCGGGTGGGCACTTGGCACACTGCTGGCGAGCAAATTTCTCCTGGTCTCCCATCAGCTTGTCCCGCCGTTCAAGCCACAAGTGACGTCTGAGATTGACACACGGTATTTCGACGATGAGTTTACTGCCCAATCCATCACCATCACCCCGCCAGATCGCTGTGAGTGCCAACGCTGCCCATACATGGGGACCCCCCTTTTCACCTATAACCCTTCCTCTCATGCACCCTCATTTTCCTGTCACCATCCTGGTGGTGGGTGTCACCTGAGGGGCCGGTGGCATTGCTGTCACACCTCTAGAAAAGCTCAGGGTCCCCCTCACTGCCCTAGAGGGGCAGCTTTGGTGGCATCTCCGCTGCAGGAGGGAGTGGGGAGGCTGATGAAGGCACCGGGGAGGCTTCACCGGCATTTCCCTCACCCTCAAACCTGTCCCCGTCTTTGCAGATGACAACATGGGCTCCCTGGAGAATGACCAGCGGACACACTTCCCCCAGTTCTCCTACTCAGCCAGCATACGGGAGTAACTGGCAGCAGCGGGATTCAGCCTCTGAGGAGGAAGAGGGTTTGGGGGTTCACTCACCACGAGGGGATTCCTCTTCTGTGCCGGCAGAAGAGGGGTGGGACGCTGCGGCTTACCAACATCGCACTGCAGCGCCTTTCAGAAGCCATACCCCTACCAAGTGCTCTTGCTCCGCGGCTCCCACCAGCACCGAGCCGTGCCTCCTGCCCCTAGCCTAGGACTGCTTTGACTTTAATTATTATTATTTTTTAAACTCTTAGAAGTGCTCGCAGCTTTTTAAAATGACCCCCACTTCCCCACAACTGTGGCCTTGACACACACACACACACCACACCCCGCCCCAAAAGCTCAGCCAGCCCTCTGCCCAGTAAAACCCACTGCTTCCAGTTGAGGAGAAGCTGTTTTAACAGCAGAAGGCAGTGGAACAAAAAAAAAAAAAAAAACCAAAACACACGCACCACCACCACAAAACAACAAAAAAAACCCCAACCATGGCCAGGATCCAGTGCCAGCTGCCCCAAGGAGTGGGGGACAACAGGGCAGGACCCCCCCCCGCCCCGAGACCACGGGGGACACGTCTCAGCTCCACAAACCTGCTTTGAACTGAACCTGCAGTGGCTGAAAACCAACCTCAGTGGAGGGGAGCGCCACGGCCCTAAGGAAAACGCCATCCTCAAAGCAATACTTTGGCTTCTCTGGTGCCTTAAAGCTGGGAGCGGTGGTGATGCCGGGCTTGGTGACGGTGGCCCCCGTCCTCCAGCATCATCGGTGGGTGATGGCACCGCCAGAACCAACAGCCTCCCCGTCCCAGCATGGCGTTGCAGAGGGACAGATCTTTTGCTGCTGCACTGCCAGCCTGGCATCCCCGGCTGCTGGCGTCAGGACTGGGTTTCGTCTGGAGTGCACCATTGTTTGCAGTGTATCCACACCCAACGGACGCTCCGTGGACACCAGCATCACCAGGGCTGTCGGCTCCAGATGCCACCAGTGTGGCTCGATGCCAGTGGGACCTAGCTTTTGAGGGGAGTGTCGCCTTCACTCCGGCACCTGCACCGACAAGCTGGGCTGGGACAAGCTGGACTTGCCGCCCGGCACCTCCCAGTGCAGCCAACACCAGGGCCGTGGCTTGGAGGTAGGAATTTGGTGCCTGGTGCCACTTCCCCACAGGGAGGAACCAAGTTGCTTTTTCTTACTTAGTTCCTAGTTGCCCAAATTTGGTTGGATTAACTTAAAAATACCAGAGCAGAGCCGGGGGTGGGGATCAGACCCCTCAACAAGGCAGCTGTGGGCACAGTTGGGTATTACAGACATGAGTCACAGCAGCAACTGAATCCTCCTCATCATCAAGATAATAAAAATCATATAAAATACATCTGTAACAGACTTTGAGAGATGTTTTTTTTTTTTTTTTTTTTCAGAGAAATGGGAATCTTGCGCTCATTTAGGGCAGGGGAACGGGGGACCGAGAGCCCCACTACCCCCGAGGGAGCCAGGCATGGCTCCGGCTGATCCCTCACAGCTCCAATATCAGGTCCCGGGGTACTCAAGGACCCCAATAGTGCCCTAGGGTTCCCCAGTAGTGCATGCTGGCATCTCCATTATGGATCCCCATATGTCCCTGTGGCAGGTGACAGCACAAGACACAGCATCTGTCACCCAGTCCTTTACTGGTGGCTGCCCAGAGTCCCCAGTGGGGTCAGGCTGGGGGTGACAGAGGGGCTCAGAGCTGCAGGAACTCGGCCACAAAGGCCACCAGGATCTTGGAGAGGTCCTCCACAGTGGGGGGGTGCAGGTTGTCCTCAGTGTCCTCCAGGGTGTGCCACACACGTGGGAAGGGTGTGGGGATAACGTGCAGCACAGGGACACCTGCGGGGGACACAGGGTGTGGGGGATGGGGATGCCACCCTCGTGGGACATCAGCCCACAGGACTGCCCAGCTGCCCACCCTGCTCCACACAGCATGGGGACACGGGGGTGGTGCATCCTGGGGAGAGGGGGACAACGTGCCCCGGGGGACAGGGAAGTTGGGGACGTCACCTCGCTGGAGAAAGGGGACGTGGTCATCCTCAACAGGTCCAGGAGCCGGGCTGAGGCGGAAGAAGGGCTGGTCCTGGGGGGCGGCGTGCAGCAACCCCAGCCGCCGCAGCTGCTGCTCTGCAGGGGGGGTAGACGACGACACAGGGAGGGGACAGAACCTTCTGCGACACCCCCAGCCTCCTCCCTGTCCCCGTTTCCATCCCTGTCCCCCATCCCCACATCCCACCTGTGCCCTGTCCCTACCTGTGCCCCCACATCTTATCTCCAGCACCGTCCCCACCCCCACCCTAACCCCATCTCCACCCCTCATGTCCCCTGTCCCCATGTCCCACCGATGGCGACGAGGCGCAGGAACCAGTGGTGGGTGCGGGGGAAGTGGCTGTGGATGGCAGGGTGGCGGGCGCCCAGCAGGTCCAGCAGCACCAGCAGGCTCTGGGGACACCAGCACAGCCATTGGGGACACCAGCATGGTACAGGGACACCATGGTGCCACCATTCTCGGATGCCGTGGGACTGTCCCAGCTGGGACAACACCACGCCACCACCCTTGGGTGTCACCAGGCCAGCCCATTGCTGTCCCACCACCCTTGAGGGCCATCAGACCTCCCACCACTGTGCCACCACCCTTCGGTGCCACCAGACCACCCCACTGTTGTCCCACCACCCTCGAGGGCCACCAGACCCCCCACCACCACGCCACCACCCTTGGGTGCCACCAGCCCAGCCCATTGCCGTCCCACCACCTTTGATGGCCATTAAACCCCTCACCCCAGAGCTGTGCCACCACTCTTGGGTGCCACCAGACCCTCCCCACCACCACCGGGCTTGGTGCCCCTCACCATGGCGGTGATCTGGGTGCCATGGGACCCGTGAGGGGTGGCAGCCATCCGTGCTGCCAGGTGCCGGGCACCGTAGAGAGAGTCGGTGGCGCTCCACTCCCCGAAGGCCTCCTCCCCACCCAGGAACAGCAGCTGCAGCGTCACCTCCGCACCCTGCCAGGACCCCAGCATCCAGGGTGGGGAAGACAGGCATCAGGGGGGAGAGGAGGGCAGGATGACCCAGATGTCCAGGGGAGACCCAGACATCCAGGGGGGATCAAGGAGTCCTGAGGGGGTGTCTGGAAGGGACCCAGGCATCCAGGGGGGGAATGGAGGGGACCCAGATGTCCAGGGAGGATCTGGG